TGTGTATGTGTTCGTTTGTCTGCATGTTGATCTGTTTGTGTGTGTATGTGTGTGTGTGTGTATCTGTGTGTGTGTGTGTCTTTGTATATACTTAAATATATCCGAAAACCGGTTCCGAATCTGTCTTACATATCTAGAAGTAGCGAAGACTGTTGAATAATTCCTTCGCGATGAAATCTTCAGTATGTGACTGAAGTGTCTGTCTGTATGGGAACCCGTTGCAATAGTATGGAATGCATCGCTATAGCACGCCTGCATGCATCTTCGTCTCCTTTTATCATTACTGTCAACCGTCAAGTCGCGGAATTGTTACACTAATAGATGAAGTTCTATTGGCGCAAATATCGATGCAAGGATATAATTCCTATTACTCACGAACTTCTTGTCATGCATTTTCAAAATATTTTTCGTTTTGCGCAATCTTCCGTAATTTCAGTGAGCTTGTAATTGGCTTGAAATGCAGTTAAATGCATGCATTCATCACCTAATCTATTTGCATGAACTTATCACTTCGTCTATTTCATTGCATCATTTTAGCAAAAAATTTATATGAATTGAATTTAATGCAAAGATTAATAATTGATAAATATCTGTGGGAGGCAATGTTAGCGATTTTCGAAACTTCCAAATCTTTAGGCAAAATTAGAAATGTTAGGCTTTCAAATGGCATTCAAGAATTTGTCCTTTGTGCCAAGAGGATATCAGCATATCCTGCAATTATGTATAAATCATCAGTGTCGGAATTAAAATCCCAAAAATTATGCTTTATCCAATGAGAATAATTGTTTGCACTGTAGAATTAATAAAAGTTTATTAGTAAAAATTTTGAAATATTGTTTATTTTGTAAATCTTTCCTATTCCAATCAAATTAGTTCCTTATTTCTATACTTATTATCCGTTTCCGGAGAAATCTCCGTTTAAGACTAAGTTGGTATGTATGACCTATCAGTGTAATATGACATCGGGTCGTTTCTTGCTTATCATATCAAGAAGAGAATTTTCATTAGGAGAAAAAACATTACAACCCTCACAAGCAAGCGTATATGGTTAGGGCAATGTTTAGAAAAAGTTCTTAGAGGAATTTTTTGGAAGCCGAAGACATCCTCAAAAGACAGAATTCACCTGATATTGTATGATGGAGATTTGATAAGATGATTCCTTTGCTTAATACTTCAATGATTAAGGCTTAATTAAGGCTTTGTGCGTGAAATGCCAAGTGCCTGGAAGTTGAATTAAGTCTGAACGTGCTGAAAATGTGTCACTTTTCATGAAACGTTAACTAATTCCGTTCATGATTCCCGAAATCTTCCCATACTTATCCACAAATTATTTCGTTATTCCACTAATTCTTTCTCTAAATTCTTGTCATGCAGATTTATGGATGTTTATTTTTGGCTAAGTTCCCATCTATTTCATAATTAGTTAGATTGCAATTATTTCTTTTGGGAAAATTTTTTTTTCCATTTCTTAAAATTTTAAATTTTTGGTTAATTTTTTATGTTTACAATAAGGAGAAAGTAGGAAGAGGAAGGCATTATTAATCAAATAACCGAACGATTAATCTGAAATAGCCAGCATTTATGACCTAAGAAAGTTTACATTGAGAAGAAAGGGATTTCTACCGTAAGGAGAAAGTTATTTAGTTATTTGAAAAGTGAAAGATATATATTAAGGTTATCAAATAAGTCACTTTGATGAGTAATTAGACAAAGAACTTCTAATTTGGTTTACAAAAATCTTATTTAAATCCTAATTTAATGAAGTTCAAAGATATACAGCCGAGAAGGAATGGATTTAATTAAGTAATTAGTTTCTTAGGTTGTGATTTTAAGGACAATCCTATCCTAACATTGTGTATATCTATTAAATTACAGTGAAGCAATTTTCGTTCATCTCTGATCGTTTCTATTGGAAATTTAACGGAAATTTTTTGGGAAAATAAAGCTTTCCGTCTAAATCTCTTAAAATGTGACATGATGACGATGAATTTCACGAATATCACTTTTGTTTACGCTGAAATAAATATTTAAAATCATAAAAAGCAAATTTTAACGATATCGAATGGAGGGTCCCCACGATTCGAACTACTGTTGCTAATGTATCAGTTATGGATATTGCTCTTATTTATCATTTTACAAATAAATGGCGGAAATACGATCAATTCGGATTTGTCACGAGTGCGCATGTGTCAGCTGAGATGTGTCGCCAAATGTGTCATCGATGATATGGTACCATATTATGATACTTATACCATTATTTTCTTTGCTAATGCATAATACTAACTTGATTTGAGTTAATTACTTTCCTAGTACAGTTTCACTGTTTCTATTGATTTGGAATATATACCAAGACATATTTAAATGTGGAATAAGGTTTTACCAATCATTGATTCCAATTTCAATTTAGCTTAGCTAATAACCATGAAACATTTATTTCCGAAATGACAATTTTGAATTTAATCGACCTGCCATACCCACCACTTGGGAAGCTGGTGACAGTAGCATGTTGTAAGGTTCACCTGAAGATATTTCCTGCTGATAATTTTTCGAACCTAATCATTTTTCAATCATTAGTAATACTTAAATTCTTAAAAGAGTTTATATTTGAGAAATAATTTTGCAAAACTGTAAACATTTATACTTGTAAAAAAAAATTGAAATTAAAATAATAATTGAGGGAAGAAAGATGTCTTGAAAAAAGAGCCAATTATTGTAATTAATTTTCAGCAATCTTCAAAACATTGTGAAGAGCAATGCAAGAAAGCTATGGCAAATGACCTTTGCGTAAGTTTATTTCCAAATGAGAGAAATGCTCTTTCCTTTAAAATTTAAAAGAATATCTTAAGAATTCAGAAATTTACACCTCTTAATTGACCCTTAATTGACTTGATAAATTATTTCCCTTCATCTCCATCACTCCAATTTCAGTTTTAGTTTTGTTTTCTTTTACAGTCTTTACAATCACTACCTTTTATCTGTGATAAGATGGGAAATCGGGAGAAGAGTTGTTGAGGTCATAATTCCATTTAACAAACAATTTAAAGTGATCTGAAGAAGAGCACTGGTATCGAACACGTACGCTTGCTGTCAATTTGCATATTCTGAGCTTATAATCACTTTTAAAAAGTGGCAATAAAATTTCGCAAAATGTTAGCATTTCAAAATTTCATCAAGGAATGGCGGAAACCTTATAGAAATATAAGGTGGAAACCTGCTGAAGTTTTGTAATATAAGAAATTTTTACAGGGTGATAAGGTTCGAGATAAGGAATTTTGTTGGAAAACATGTGGTGGAAACCTGAATGAAGAGCCAGAACCGGAAATACCCAAAAATATTAAATGGGTCTACACACCCTCTTATTCCATTAATATTACATGGGATGGCGATGGAACATTGTATTTGTTGGAAATGACGAATAAATCTGAAGATAATGAGTATGGGCAGTATTTTGTAAGTTTACATCAAACCATTTGTTTTTTATGAATCTTAAGAAATTCAATGTCTTTACCTGACAATTGATTCTGTTGCATCAGATTACAGACGACATTATTTAGAAATAACCGATCTGATAATGTCATAATGACAATCCGATATCAAACTATGAAATGGAATAAAATTATAGGTATTCTTACTTGAGGTATAACTGTCAAAAATGTCAATGCATCTTGTCATTTGTCTTTTCAGCTTTTATTCTTTACTTATTTCATTTTGGAAGAGAGTGAAATTCAATCCCAAAATACTTTCTATTTATTTAATTATTTTTGTATAAATTTAATTTTCAAATGAAATTAGAAATCTCTCTACAAAACAGATCTCCCAAATTGATATTCACAGGATTGAATTGAAAAGGTAAAGAATGTTTTTTGTGTTTTTGTAATTTCAGCTTACAACTACAACATCGTTGCTTAATTACACAAAACTTGAAACAAATTTTTGTAATCCATTGCTATTTCGACTTGCATCAGTGACAAGTGGAGGAGTAAGCAATTTTAGTGACGTGCTGGAGATTCCTGCGACATCACCTGATATTGTGCAGAATTTAACCGTTCAATCTATGGAGTATATCGTAAGTGAAGCTTCTTCATCCTCTATAGCAACAAATTTGCTAATGTTGAGACTTTATGTAAGTCATCACTGCAGTTTTTCCATTAACTGCAAAAGTAAGTCGTACTTGTAACTTTCTCGAAAGTTATATTTAACTATGATTACAGGTAAAACTGATGCTTTTATAGTTTACTGAAGAGAATTTGCAGTAATGTATGAAGTTGCCAAGATCTTCAGATTCATTGGAAACAGATTCAGATAGTTTAGAAGCTATGTATGAGTTCTCATGAACTATAACTAAAATTCCTGCAAGTGAACTTATCTTTAAATCTTTTCTAAAGTTATGAGTGATCATTTTACGATCACCGAAAATTAATTTTTTGCAGAATCAGTCATTCAGCAAAAGTGGTTATCATTCCAACGGAACCATCAAATTAGTTCTACAGTATGCGGCACCAAAATACAGTAAATATGTTTCATTTTGTAGCCGTCATCTGCGCATCATATCTTTTTATTATTTTTTTTTGAAACTATCTTCTTTTGTATTGGAACTAATTAATATAATGTGCCTTAATAAGTGGAAAGTAGTCAAATTAATTACTTTGGTTTCCTCATCTGAAATTGTTTTCAACAGATTTCAACACAACAGTCTATGCTACCTAAAAATTATTTCTCGAATTAATCAAGCAAAACCCATTGTCATTTATTTGTTGACATTTAAATTTCGATAGTGCTAGTAATTTAGAATTTTTCGGGTTTTAGATTGGCCGTTAGGTGAAAATGATATAAAGGTAGATTTACTCTTCCATATGGTAAGCTGCAATGTTCCCGATTTATCAAAAGCAGTACCAGCACCAGAATTCGTTAGTTTCATTTTCAGTGTTTTTTCTCTTTTTTTTTTCATCATCCCATCTAAGTAAATCCAACTTTAAAAAAGTTTTATTTCTCCACTTTTAACAAAAATTAGGAATATATTTTCAACGAAAGATAACCCATAATATATTATTGTTAATCCGAATGTAATTTATTACTACGACTGAAGAAGACCAGACACCTATGAATTTGTACAGGACATGAAAATTTATTTTAAGGAGGCAAGTAAGGAGCCACGAACTATGGTTGCTGAAGTTGGTGCTGATTTGATGTATCGTAAATGTCAATTCTTATATTACGTTAGTGGAGTTCAAAGTTATCGTTGTGGTACTACAAAAACAAATAATGATTTCAACCAAAATTCGATGAAACCATTAAAAATAAGTTAGTTTTTATCTGCAACGACTAATCAAACGTAATTCAGATAATTTTAAAACGATGAAATTCAATAATTGAATTTGAAGTTGAATTCAAATTTAGAAATTAAATTTGGATGTATGAATTTAGTGCAATAAGTAGAGTGTAGAATTTTTCAACAATGATTCCAAAAATGATTTATATGTTTTTTAAATTGAAAGATTCTCTGCTTGGACTTTTTCAAAAAATTTACATATATATGTTATATTGCATTTTCTAGTAGAAATATACATTTTAGCAGTGAAAATTCTTGATTAAATTTGAATATTTCTATTTTAGATTGTGCTACCGTACGAAACAGTCCATGTAACGATAGCCCATTGATACATCATCCACCAATGTGCGGTCAAGTGGAAGGATTCAGTTATCAGATTCTTAACGATTATATCAATCCAGATGATACAAACACTAATATAACTGTCAATGTGACATTCCGATCCATTTTAATGCACAAAAAACCGTTATATTTTGTGGCTTTTTACGGTGATGCTGAACCGTTTGATCGAGAAATTGATGTTAGCCTCTTTTCCTTATTAATTGTTGCTAATTAATTTCGTCTTTTTAATATTTAAGCACTATTTCCTTTTCTCCTTAACTTCTTACCTAACTTGAAGACAGGTTGTTAAGTCCGAGAGTATATGTAAATATCAAATACGTTCACTATCACCAATATGATCAACTTATCACTCATTTCACGAGATTTTGCAATACTTTTACTCATATCAGAAAAAAGTTGCCAATAGGTTGTCATTTTTGAAATCATTTTATTTTGCCACTTTTATGATAAAGATAGCATATTTTTCTGGACGTTTCGTTGAAGTTTTTTGTTTTTAAATAAATAAATGCTATAAATTACAGGTAGAATTACTTGGTGTTAATATGCGCCGTATTTTGGGTAATGCGACAAACTGTCCGAAGCTTAATCATAATGGAACGTGTGCGGTAAATTTTAAATTTGATTTTTTGGATATAATTTAATTGAAGATTTGGAAGTTGAAATTTTTAATTAGAGAAATTTACATCTATATTTTTTACTCTTCAAATTAACTAATCAACTGCAATGAACATTGTTTATTTTAATTTTTCTTGTACAATGATATCTTGTATTATATCTTGCATTACATTAGGTGAAATTAAACCTAGTAAATGCATCGATAATAATAACAAATTTGCGAATGAATAAGTTGTACGGTGTGACAATATGCGCCATTATTGATCCTTATAATTTGACATATCCGGAAGTAAGCGGTGTTGCATTGGGTATGAAGTCAAAAGCCAACAGAATATTCATTAACTCTGCAGGTTCATAATTTAGTAGCTTATTTTTTGTTTAGCTACGGTGAAAGAAGTGAATGTTATTAGCAATTTTAATATACTACTCAATCTACAATTTTGATCTGTTTGGTTGTTAAGAAGTAAGAAAGAGAGGATATATTATCATTTATCATTTATTTTATTTTTATTTCTTCCTCTTATCATACATTTATCCTCATGGATGAATTCATTCATTTAAATGTTGAAGAGAATGAATTTTGTTTTTTTTCTTTGTGCTTGAATGGTTAAATTTCCTTATTTAAACTTTCTTTGCTCTCAAAATGGTATTTTTAGCATTTAAGAAACATCGTCCAGGATTGTTAACGGGACTTATTGCTGGAAGTATAGCAACTCTTTTGTTACTTCTTGTTGGTACATTTATTTGGATTCAACGAAAGCAAAATGCCAAAATCAAAATGCATCAGTTAAAGCTCGAACAAATGAAGCTCAGCAACGAATTAAGATATACTGATTTACCAAAAAAGTTAATCATAATTAAAATCTTGAAATACGTTATTAGCATCTTTCCAACTTCTAAGTCTACTTTTCAAGAGATCAATGTCATTGTCGCTGTCAATGACTCAGCATTTTATATAATTGAGGAATCAGACATTTAGGAACTGAAAGGAAGTAAGTATCAGAATTGAAATAGGCTAAAATTTGATAAATTACTGAGGAGAAGAAATACCTATTTTGATAGTTTAAAAAAAAATTTTGGGTACAGAGACCCTTAAGATACAGTTCAATGAATAAAAGAATAATTTAGCCTGAATTTCTCAGGAGATAATTTGAGCTTTGTCAATAAATGACATTAACGAATTCGTTTTATCACTGGGACTTTCAATATGCTTTTGTTGGCTTTAATGAGCTAATGAGCTACATTCATATCAAGTGTAGCTTTGCAGGCTTATTTTATCCATAGGTTTATGAGATCGAATTTATTAACTATGTAAAGAAGATGAGGAGCTAATGATTGAAGGGAGTATTGATAAGCTAATAACAGGTACAAATGATAATGTAATATATGCAGACAGGATATTTGGGAGTTGGAACGCCGAAATCTCATCATATATGATGATCAAAAGCTTGGTTCGGGTGCATTTGGAGCCGTTTACAAAGGCCGATTGATTGGTATTGCGAAAGGTAACAAGAATGCTCAATCTGCTTTGGGTATTAACCTGATGAGAGCCGAAAATTGTGATGTCGCCGTGAAAAAGTTGTTAGGTAAGAAAGAATATTTACATAATATCAGTATTACTCAATCTTTCCTGTAAATTTAACCTGACCTGACAATATGTAAGTTTTATGTATTCACGTTTATCATCATTGATACATAAAAACCTTTACATTTTGTAGAATTGAAGTTAAATTAAATGTCATACTAATTATCAGCTAAGTGATAATGTTTCTTATCAGTAACTTTCTATCTTCGATGTAAGCTATTTCATCCATTACTGTATCCAGTGACAAGAATTCCTCTGGGACGTATAAGCTAGAATGTATTAAAATATAAAATGAAGCTCTATACTTTTATCCAGCTGATAACAAAACTGATAATTAAATCTTGTAGTAATTATATGAAATTGTTGCAGAATATGCTGATCAATTATCGAAAAGCGAATTCCTCAATGAAATTTCATTAATGAAAACATTAGGTTATCATGAACGATTGGTCAATATGTTGGCATGTATTACAGAGACAGAACCTTATTGCTTAATTGTTGAGTACTGTTCAGATGGTGATCTGTTACATTTCTTAAGGAAACGGTGTGCTTATATGATGAAGGTTATGATCAATTTTAGTAAAAAAAAGAAATTTTTTTTTTTGTATTGGTAATTTCTTGAAACATGATTTTTGAAGATTTTTTTACAATTTTAAAACTAATTCAAAAATTTCTAAAAATTTTTTAGAAATTTGATATAAGATTTTGCTTTGGCAATTCATCAATTTGACTTAAAATACGAAAAGAGAAAAAAGAGAAAGGGAGGGATTAATCCCGGAAGAAAATGTCATCCAAGGTAAAATGAGAAAATAAGAAAGACAGGCGTCAATCCATAATGAAATTCTTTAGTTAAACCATACTTGCAGTTAAAATGATTGTACTTCAAATGTTAACATTAGCAAATACTACGATTGTTTTTCCAGCTCACTGAAATGGGTATCGATTACGATGGACCGAATTTGAATGAAAAATAAATCCGGATTTAGTGATAACATTAAAACAGTTATTGATGTTTGCTGTGCAAATCAGTTACGGCTTGGTAAGTGTCATATCTAATCACAGAACTTTATTTGTCTCACATTTTGTATGTGTATTTATCACATAAAAAATATCGTAATCCTTCACCATTTCACCAAGAGCATAAAGATGAAGAGTGATATTAACTTTACATTGTTGTTTGTACTTCCAGTTATTCCAAATTAAATTTCAATTTTAAATTTAAAAAAAAGCTAATACTAATTTTAATTTGAACATATGTGACAGTGATTGATGAAAAAGAATTATTTTTAGGAATATCTTAGCCAGAAAGGTTTCGTGCACCGAGATGTAGCAGCACGTAATATATTGGTGCATGATAAGGCAAATGCAAAAATTGGTGATTTTGGTTTATGTCGATACATTTATCGTGATAGCGCCAATTACAAAAGTAAAGGTGGACGATTGCCAGTGAAATGGATGAGTCCAGAAGCTATCAAACATTATGAATTCACTATGCAATCAGATGTGTTAGTATTGAATTCTTTTTACAAACTATTAAAGTGTAAAAAATTGAAAAGGAATATAACGTGTTCAAATGTGATAACAAAGTATAATGTTATCATAGAATGACAAAGTGGATGACATGTAGATGTGTTTATTTAGACACTAACGTGTGATTATATGATTAAAATATGATAACAAAGTATAATGTTACCATAGAATGATAGAGTGATTATTTAGCACAGAATCCACGGAATTGCATTGAATTTTGATAGATATTTTATTGAAATATTTCAAAATTCGAATAAATATCATTTAAATTCCAGTTGGTCATTTGGTATATTAATGTTTGAAATCATCACACTTGGTGGTTCACCGTATCCAGGTATACAACCCGATGATATGTTGGAACATTTGGATGCTGGTGGACGAATGGATCAACCGGATAATTGCCCCAATAATTAGTGAATTTAACTTTACTTAAAAAAGACAGTATCAAACAGTATAGAAATGTATCTATAATAGCAAGTAAAAGAGTACAGCCTGATTTTTTTTTTATTTTCTAAGAGAAGGAGAGAGAGATTCACATTTAACGTCTTTCATATTAGATGAAAAGTCTTTACAGCTATGAGGTAATGCGTAGTTGCTGGGCCCAGGAACCGTCATTAAGACCCGATTTTGGAACTATCCGGCAAAAATTAGCCAGTCAACTGGAAGATATTACGGACCAATATTCATATCTAAAATTAGACAATCAACGGGACTATTATAATGTAATATATGACACAGATGTTTTGGTATGATTTCTTTTCTTTTTATTGGTTAACCTTTCAAATATTGCTTTGTGATTGGACTTAAAGACTTAAACGAAATACTTACTAATATCAGGTTAAATTTTAAAATTTATATTCAGAGGATAAGAAACAATAAGGTTCTAAATGAAGCCTTTAAATAACTATCTAACTATTTTATCATTTATAACTCCATATCATTACTGTATTATTTTCGAGTTCTCATTTCATTAATACATCCTCTAAGCACAGCTATATTAAGCTTTTTTCTGATTAAACCTTATCCGATCAATACTTACTCTTTACAGATTACACATATGATCTCATCCAACGGAAATCTAAGAATTTTTCCTTCCATCTGATCAATTATTATTTTATATTTATAGAAAGATACCAAGGAAACGGTAGAGGACGATTCAACAACTGAAATGTTTGAAGTTGAAAAGACAAAAATGAAAGATGCTCCTTCAACAGATGTACAGGAAGATAACAGTGATAAAACATCAACACTGCCGTACGGTAATGGAACTATTAGGAATAGAAGTGCTATCAGTGATGGCTCATAGAAATGGAGTTTTCATCAGCAACAGATTGAATAGTTTGCTGATGAAAATTTAAGGAACCCATTACCGAATATTTCTGTTTTCATTGGTTGGCCGAGGTTGACAAGTAGTCAGATGTATGCAACACTTCTTTGATAATATCGACAACCTCAAGGATATAAGTGATACGGAATTTGAGGCATTCTTTGATTTGGGTTGAAAATAAAATGATGATTTACTTAAGCTGAAGAATAAGCAGATATTGATTGTTCTGCCCTACCTGAATAAGTGACTAAGAGAAGTTTGCTATATTTTACATAAGGAAAAAGATGACTTCTGAACTATTTACGCTTTTTCTCGAATTTATTTTCCTTCTGAATTCTCTTCCAAAATTCTCCCAATATTTTTAATGCATAAAATGAGGACAATATGACAAAAATTTTCCTTCCATAGCAGGATTTATCATTGAAGTGTCGTTCACAAAACGTCTTTTTCTTCATCGCTATTCAGAATGAGTTGACATTTGGGTTGACAAAAATGAATGAATTTACCTAATCCTCTCTCCTTGATAGTTCCTTTTGTTAATGTGGAATTCTGCTGGCCCATTTTAGTCTATTATTTTTCCAGAAAAAAAAAATCGGCTTGAATTATTTCATTTATCGACTTGCTTCTCCTGGATTTACCCAAGTTCTATTAATCTTTGGTATGCATAAAATAATTCAACATATCATAAATGCCAACCTGAGTACGGTCTCATCAAAAGATTACCACGTGAGCAAGAAATTCGGGAAGGCAGTAATGAAATAAACGAAATGATTGGATAAAATCATTTTTACCCAATCCAGTTCGCTTTTTCATTGAAGCGTTTCTCCAAGGCACTCAGAATCACAAAAAATCTATACAGTACTCCAAGCGGTTACCGATGGTACTACCGCTATTCTTTTAAATCTTTAGTGAAAATTTACCTGACGTAGTGATTCGGAAAACTCGACTACGATATTCTTGCTATCATACCGAATGCAACTAGCTGAATCTAAGATACAAAAAAGAAAATAATGTTTCTATTTTATACAACAAAAGATATCTTGATCAAGTTAATCATAAAATTTCAATCAACAATCAATAGGAATTGTCAAATTCGTGAAAGAGACATAAATAACATCACGTGATAAATAGTAATGCTATGAATCCACAAACATAACATATCACAAAGATAAAAAGAATTATTAGAAATAATAATAAGTGAATTTAATAGATTCTTCATTTTTCGATTTTGAGTAAGGAATGATAGTAAAGCTTTTGAGGGATGAATGCTAAGAATTAATTAGCCGTTACTGCAAAGCAGTATAAGTTGGTCTGATTCGTTAGTAAATCATAATTGAGGTTGAGATATTTCAATCGAGAACAAATTGAAGAGATTTTATTAGAGAGAAGAAAGAAAATGAGAGAAAAACAGATTTAGCTTTCTAGAGAAATCAGTAATATAGTTTTATTGTTTAGAATAATACTAATGGATTGAAATTTTGAAAAGCATTTATGAGATGAGAAAGTACAGTATACAATAGAACTAATTCTAATATAATATAACTATCAATTATAAGCATCGTAAAATATAAAACAAATTTTTTTTTGAAACAGATAAAATGGTACAATAATATGTATATATACAACAATTCTAAATTTTGCTTGTACAATAAGCTAATAAAAATGCGTCTTATCGTTTAATATGCATTTGCTAGAATAATAAAAATTAATATAAATTGTAATCCTTCTAAGGCAACAATAACAATTCTTCCAAATTTACAATGCATTTATCATTTTATAGCATTTTCAAATATTTTGTAAATTTAAAGGTAACATAATTGAAGTACTTTGGAGGATTATATAAATTGAAAAATTATTTCTAAATGATGGAAGATGATGGATGGTATCACTTTATAGTAAATACTGAAAACTCTAATTCTTAACTTTAAAAGGTCATGGATATTTGGAGTGACGGTACAATGCGTTTAATTAGAACTAATCTTGACCTATGAATTCTAATAGTTAAAAAATGCAACGAAAACATTTTGTGATATGAAATAAAAAGGTATAATAAATAGATTCTCATTAAAATTTAAAGAAGTAAGATATATACATATATATTATTTTCTGGATTAATGACTTGCTATATTCGATTAGATCATTCCGTTTAGCCTGATCTAATTCGTGAGAAACAGGATCGTGAAAACATATTGCTATCATCAATTCTCCTGAAAATTTCAAACTTTTATATTTTTAATCCTGATTGACATAAATCTTCAGATGTTTTGAAATCATTTGAAACTCTAACTAAGATACGGTATTTCTCATGAAAAGTACTAAGAAATCAGACTGAGGAAGCACAGATGCTGAAAGAACTAACATATTATCAAAATGTTCAAGGAGCTGATTTAGAACGATGTTGTTATTTGTAACTGCCTTCGTATTAAAATGAGACTCGTTATTATCATAGCCAGAAAAATCCGGACCAAATAAACCGGATTCCTGCAGAAATTAAATGTTGAATTTTGCTTGAATATAATACGATTAACATTAATAGATGATGCATAATCACTGAAATATCTGTTTGTAAAAGATGTTTGAAGTAATTTATGAAAGATTAAATTAACTGTTAGTCTAATTTGATTCAAACTTCATACATAATGTTACTTTAAAATACCTTCTGAGATTGTCTTTGCTTGTCACCACAGTTGAAATCGGTACTTGTTAGAGAAGAAGAAAACCCGCCATGTTCATTAAATGATAAATGATTTCCAAGAGCGATCGGTGAATTAGTACATTCAGCACTGAAAAAAAAGAAGAAGCAAAGATCTAAATGGAAAAAAAAAGTCTTTCTTTAACATAGCACTTCAAAATGTTGAGTTTTTGGGAGAGTTGACAAAAGTTCGAGAAATCTCGAAGGTACTAACCTCTGATCCAATCGTCTTACGTTGAGATGCTTAGAAGGATGTTGTAAAGTTTCTCCTGAATTTCCTTTGTCCCGCAGCTAAAAATTAAATTAAATTTTCAGAAACTTAATTAATTAGTCTGATAACCCAGAGACCATTCATGAATCAATTAATTAATCTCACTGATGGAATGCAAAATAATTCGATCGGTGAGAAGAAATTATTTACCACATCTGCAACGACTTTCGACATGTCATTTAAACGTTCATGTACGTATTGGCAACGGGCACCGTATGGACAATAGTTCAGTACTGAGAATTTATTGCATAATTTAGTTTTGTATTTCGGATGAGCCTAAAAGTAAGACAGGTAAAATACCTAAAGTTAGAAATTGTAAATAAAAAGCTTTGTTAATTGTGGTCAGAGAAATACAATTAATACTTTGACCAGTTAAATGAGTAAATGTGTTCTGCAATTGCTGGATTGAGAAATTTAAGTTCGTTCTTAATTTAGGATCCTCAAAGATGCAATCTGATTAGGTTATGTCAATACTGCTCGAACAGGTAAAAGTACCATTACCTGAGGTGGAAGACGAAGTTCTTTTTCTCCATGTGCAAAAACGCATTCATCACCATATGGACATATATTATTTTCTCGAAATGGCTTACACAGTGAAGTTTTGTAGGCATTCCTTTTGCGCTGCTCTGAAAAAAGTTCGAAATTTTAATGGATTTATAAATACAGCAGTTTTCGTCCTTCTAATCTTCGTTCAATATTTATTGAGTAAACTCATAATCGGAACTGTCAACCGATTATGATATGATATGGATTAGTAAGAATGATACGGTAGAGCACTCAGATAAAAAGTTAGATAGTATTCAGTTACTATGAATGGCTTTATGGAAATAATGTTTCTGATAAATGCAGTATGGAATATTTCCTCATTAAGATATCTCAGAATAACCGGAATAAGCTAACCTCTCTGTAATTCTTCACGTTCCGAATCAGTTAACATTTGCCACATAGAAGTGCCTGCACACTTTGATGACTCGATCGTTGAGGAGACATCATTATTTTTATTACGTTCCTAAAAAATTAAAATTTGTTAAAAAACAATGATAGCAAAAAATCTTACCAAAGGTATGACTTCTAATTCGATCTCTCTCTCTCTTTATTCTTTCAAAATTTCACGATTAATTTAATTTGCAAGCAAAATTCAATTAAAAAACAAAAGATAAGTACTGATAAAAATTTACCATCCTGAGGATAAAATGATAAGAAACAATTGACGAAAGTGTCAAGAGATAGTAATTTATATTTTCGAAATAAAGTTAACGATGGTAATTTTACCTTGGCAATTTTTGATAAAACTCGTTGAATTACTTTATTCAGTTCACTTTCTAAATCATTCCGGACGATTGGATCATTTCGGGTTAATTCGCAAGCTTTTAGAGCTAAATTCTAGAACGAAAGAAGATTTTTTTTTTTTTTTTTGAGGAATCACTCAATAGAAATAATCACCTGTTCCATTATTTAAGCTTATCTATTATACATATCACAACAGTCACATACATGTTTAATTTAAATAAATTACATCTTCAAATATTTCTTTCTCACTTATCCTTACCGCTAATCCGAAATTTAAATTAATTTTCAATGAAATAAATGCTAAACGACAACGACAACCTGTACTCGATTTCCTATATCGCCTCCTATCTCGAAAACAGGTAACATTTCAACTCCATACTAAATATCACTATTTCAGAAGTATAATGTGATTGAACTTGAAGAGACAAAGCTATCCATTACTTAAACATAGAAAGTTAATCAATTAACCTGTACGATAGTGCCATTAGTTAGATTAAGCGCGGATAGATCAATGAAGTGCAATTGTCCATAAGCGTTCACATATACTCTGAAAAATTTTCGTCATTCGCTGGTTGTGGTGAACTTACAACTGAAAATGATAATGAATAAAATAATGAACTTACAACTACAGTATTACTTTATCATTTTAATACGTGTCTTACTGTCGAATTCAGATCATATAATCCATTCAATGACTTTTAATTAGAAAACTTAAAGTTTATCAAAAAAATTAGTGATACGAATCTTTAACATTACCTTCAGAATCTTACCAGAACCTTAACAGGATACATAAGATAATGACATTTTAATTTTTCTCGAAATTGATTATACTGCGATTTATTAGCCATGACATTTTATACCTGTTAGGCTCTTCCCGATTGAAATATGCCACCATATGTCGTTCAATACCGTATGCTTGTAATAACTCTTGTATTTCTGGTGAAACAGGAATCATACTAAGTGTTGGTACCATTAGGTCTTGTTTTGCTGCAGTGTTGTGGCAATCCTTTATTGCTGTCATTGAACTTTTTGAGCTAATTATATTGCAACAATCTGAAGAAAAGATAAGCTAATATTTTCAAAACAATTCACATTCAATGATAATACATCAAAAACCACTATTCATAATTAATTTATCAGCACTTTATTACAGCAAATCCTTTTCAACCTACTTCCTATCCTTATCACAAATATGATAGTGAGCAAAAGTATCGATATATCGAGAAGTTTGTAACCTTCCCGAACCTGACCCTAAATGATTACATGATTACAACGATAATCGAAGAAAAAGAGATCACTAACTTGTCCACAATGTCACCCTTTTCATATTCACCATGGGTATGTCCCGCTTCCTCATTATCCAGAAATTTCTACATTCACCACCAACCATGTAACCTTCTTGTCAATATCTCTTTGGTATATCTGCGAATGTGTAGTTCCGTGTTTGGCTTAAATAATTTAGTCAAGACAACGACAAAATGCCATCTGGAATTCCTCCTATTATAATATTGTATTCAATACAATCATATCTGAAGGATTCATTATCTTGGCTGTGAAATGAGCAATATGCAATTTTTATTAATATTGGATATCAAATGTTCTGTTCAACTGAACTCATTGATCAATGACTTCTATGTTTTTTTTCTGAACAAAGAATATCCAAGAAAAATGGAATAATTTCTAATTTACGACAATTTTACACCATTTAATGTTGAATGTTAAAAAGTTGATGCCATAAAAATTAAAAATCTGTTGGGTGTTAGATGAATGACCTCCACTTGTCATCATTTTACTTCATCTTCCAAGGAATAGATTCTGCAAAAGGAAAAAAAAGGAAGTTTTTATTAAATTAATTTTTATAAAATTAATCGCATTTAAAAAAACGAGCAAATTTTTGAGTTTTAATGGGAAGGACTCATTCTCTATTTGAAATTAAATAAATCTGCTAAAGTTACAATCTATAACTTAGTGTTTATTGTTTGATTTTTAAACAAGACATTAGCGCTTGTAGCGATTTTTCTTTCAAGCACCAAAAGCGCTCAGTTTACCAGTCAAATTTCTTTCGAAGTTGTACTTGAAATGAACCACATATACCATTATTCTATCAAATTCGAGTAATTCTAAATGAGAATAAAACCGGACAACTTCATCATCCTTTCCTTATTTCAAAAAGTTGTAAACGGTCGGTTGTGATTCATTTTGTTAATATTATTACCGACGTGATAAGTAAGTTGGTGCTAA